AAAGATGTATTTATTTATTCTGAGAGAGAGAGAGAGAGACCTACACATGCATGAGTTGGAGAAGGGGGCAGAGGGAGAGAATCTCAAGCAGATTCCCTGCTGAGTGTGGCTCAATCCCACGGCCCATGAGATCACGACCTGAGCTGAAATCAAGAGCTGGACACTAAACTAACTGAGCCACCCCGGCACCCCCTTAGTTATCACCTTTTTAAAGAAATAAAAGGGGGACAAGGAAACCTCATGTCAAGCATGAGGTGCTAGATATTTTAGGTACATGATCACATTAATCTTCCTAGTAAATCTGAGATAGAGTTTCATCTCCCCCACTTCACAAATGAAGAAACTGAGGCTCAGAGAGGTTAAGGAACTTAGTCACAGTAACTATAGTCACACAGTGGCAAAAACCAACTCAAAACCAGGTCTGTTTCACAAAAGACTATACACAGTATGATTCTATAATTCCATTTCTATTAGGTTCAAGAACAGGCAAAACCAATCTATATGAAAGCAGTCACATCTAAGATGATATGAAAGTTCCCTCTAGAGGGTGGTTACTGACTAGAAATGGCGCAGGCACCTTTTGGGGTACTGAAAATGTTTACTTCTTGAGTGGGGTGGTGGATATACATTCAGGAAGTACATACAATATTAGAGCACTTCGCACTTTACTGGATGCTATACCTCAAGTTAAAAAAAATTCCTCATCTGACTGACTCCAAGTTCATACTCTTAACCACTAAACCACCACTCCGACAGAACCTGGCCACACTCTAGAATTGACTCCCTCGGATAATCTTTTTTTTTTTTAAGTATTCTGGTAAGCAACGTACATCCTAATCACATCAGAGTGAAAACACTGGAACAATAAACCTGTTTTTAAATGCCACAGAATGAAAAGTAGAAAGTATCAATTTCCTGGCTACTGGGAATTTCCCCTCTGTAGCCACATCAGAATACAATTTTAAACCCTGCTCTAAGGGAATGTTCACACATGCACAGAAAATCATTTGTAGCAAAGTCATATATCTATAGAAACACCTAAAGCTAAAATTACACAAAATATTTCAAGACATGTTATAACTTTATCAACAATGCTAACTCTCAAAAGAAATTTGAATTTTGGGGGCACCTGGCTGGCTCAGACAGTAGAGCATGAGACTCTTGATCTCAGGATTGTGAGTTCAAGCCCCACGCTGGGCATGGAGCCTACTTAAAAAAAAAAAGGAAATTTGAATTTTGTTACAAAAATTAAGAAAGGCAAGGAGACAAAGCTGATGGGCAAAGAACATCAAGTTCACAGTAGTGGCAACACACAGTAAGTGCAAAATCTCAGCTCAGAGTTCTAACATATAGAAAACTGATGCAATGAACTTTTTCCAGCAGTAACTACCACAAATGCCCTAATAACAAATTCTCCATCAAGTACAAGTGCTTCCCACTGAAGTTCTGTTCAGACTAGCAAAGCCTCATCACCAGGTGATGATGAAATCATTACATCAATTCTCTTAAAGTCTTATACCACACACATATACCTCTTATTTGAGCGGTAATTGCCTCCCCAGAGAGAGGAATTTATTCATCCTACCATTTGGAGAAATCTTTGGCAAGCCACCTAGTTAACAGTTATCCCACCCTGGGGGTGAGTGTGGGGGAGGAGATAGCTGTACCCACACCCCTGTTGGCTACATGTGCTGTGGTCCCTCCTGGGTGCTTTTGATTAGGTCAGCCAGGAAACCCAACCTTCAAATTGTCAGAGCCTGGTTTAATTCATGTTTTAACATTCTGTATACACTAAAATTACCAGGCAATTGATTGAAATGATTTTAGTTCCCTCTGAGCATCTGCATATAAGACCAAAAGGCCTTTATGAGAGTTTTCCAGTATTTGTAAGTTAGTTATACACCACAATTGGGCATGTTGCAATAGATTATATAACCAAATATTATCCCAGTTGCAAGAATCTTAATGTTTATAAAAGTAACCATTGGCATTTATTAATTGTTAAAGTCTTTAACAAACTGTCCAATAAAACTGTCGAAAAAACTAAGTAAAGTCAAATATTGTGGCTATTAAGCGAGTTAGAAAGAATTAAAAGCACTGACCCAGTATGTTAAGAACACAGTACACTTCAGGCACATTCGCAGCACCGGGTCAGGATCCCTAAATTATGGTTTCAAAAGAAACAGAACAAAAAAAAACAGGCATTACCAGAAAACATTAAAACTTGAAGTTTCAAAGTTTCTTTAAGAAACAATGGATTCATCTTTTCCCTTATCCTGCATCAGCTGAAAAAGCCTCATGCATTTCTATCCAGAACATCTTAGCTTTGTATCAACAACGCATCATGTAAGGCAGAATGATCCAATTTTTTTTTAGATTCCTCATTTCCTAATATAACTCCTTTTTCTCCAATGTACCTCTAAAAAAGGCACACACTTAGGGGCACCTGGGTGGCTCAGTCAGTTAAGCGTCTGCCTTCAGCTCAAGTCATGATCCCAGGGTCCTGGGACGTAGTCCCTCCTCCAACCAACCGGCCCACCGCCCGGGCTGTCAGTCCATCGGTTTACAAACTGGCAGGCTTCCGGCTCAGCTCTCCTTCTCCCTCCCCCTGCTTGTGCTTTCTCTCTCATTCTCTCTCTCTCTCGCCAATATATAAAATTTTAAAAATAATAAAAATTAAAAAGGCACATATTTGAACAAATTGTATAGTGAAAAATCAACCATGAATTATCAGTTCCACTTTCCTATTTTAGCAAAACTGTAGTGTCTTACAATTGGAGAAATCTAAATTGTTTTTTTAAACACAGAACTCTTCAAAACTACAAGCCATTACTCAGCTATCCATCAGAAACCCAGAAAAAAAAATCGTAATTTTTACAAGCATATTATGTTTCTTTTCATCAAAAGGTTACTTCATTTCTTGGATTTTAAAAAACTTTATCTGCATCTGCCAAATTTGGCTGATTTCAGTGTCAGTCAGACCAATCTAACTGGTTCCCAGTTGCTGTTTTTGGTAAAGGGAAGTTGATGCCTAGGGGAACTTCTATACTGATTACACAATGACCACCACCCATTAAGTGCTTCTTAATTCCCATGATGCAGAGCCAGGAGTTGAACAAACATTATCCTGTCTGTCCTCAAAAACAATCTTGTAGAGCAGGGGCTGCCATCCCCAAAACCCGTTATGGAAAATAAGGCTGGGATGGTCAACAACCTGCCAGGGGTCACGGAACAGTATGTGGCAGATTCGAGACCAGTGAACAGTGAGGGTGGGAACTTGAACTTTTATGGAGAATTAGGCCTTTCATCAACACACATGAAATGAAGAGCAGTGAGCCCCTGCTGTTGGGAGATGGCCAAGGGGAAAAGCAGTATTTCAAACTGAAAAAGTAATTTCAAACATTAGATCCAAAGATACAGACATTCGCAAAGCTGGGCAGGGGGGAAAGGTTTTCTCATGTAGAGAATTCTATAGGGTTCTGCAATTCCCTGGTCTTAAAATCTAATCTGATTTAAGAGCACAGGACTCTGTGTGTAACACTCCCAAATTCCACCAGCCTTAATAACCTCTATCCAAAAGAAAGAGAAGTGAGAACTAGGACAGTGGGAAGAAGTGACCACCCAAGCCTTTCCTCCCACCGGGGTAAGTTGTCAGATCCACATGGGCGCGACCAGGAGACAGCTCGGCTCGAGAGCCCTCAGACTGGGTGAGGCTCGGATCCCCCCGCCTTCCTGGTCCCGATCCTTACCCTGTTGACCACCTCCCGAGGCAAAATACACCGGAAAAATGTTATAACAAGTAGACGCCCATATTCACCAACTGGTTTAGCAAACTGCAATCTACAGCAAGGCTCCAACAAGGGAGGGGCCTCCCTTGGTATAATTGTTCTAAACTATCTTTCCACGAAATTGGGAAGGTTCACGAGGCCATGGGGGTTGGGGAGCAAAGACAAACATACCATCCCTGAGTTTTTAAGGAGGAGAGGGAGCCTCCTCGCCAACCCAGGCTTACAATGTGTTAATTTCAGGGGTAAGCTTTCACGCCCTGACACTTGTAGGGAGATAATGGGTTCTGGGGCTCCCCCCGTCCTAAGTGCAAAATACCGTGGCCGGGATATTAAAGTGATTTGATTTTACTACCTCCAGAAGGGTCCGCCTGCCGTTCCCGGGCAGCCTCCAAGATCTCCGCCCGCGGGGTCCCACCGAGCGCCCCCACGCCCACCCTTCCAGAGAGGTGTTTTGCTAAGGCCTCCCTTATGCGCTCCGGGCAGCACCCACCCATCCCCCTCCCCAGGTCTCAGACTAGTAGCCTGGTTAATCATTCAACGCCGGCGGCGTGGAACAATTTTTTAGAGGTCAAAGCGAAAGGTTCTCCCTAAGTTTCACAGAAACCAGCCTTTGGGGACCCGGAGGTGGCAGCGGCAGGCAGATGGGGGTGGGGAGCGGCGGCTGGCGGCTCTTTGGCTCGCAAAACACCTGATCTCCCCATGCGGCAACCGAAGACCAGCGCAGTGCGAGGGTGGGGTGAGGGGGTGAGAGTGAGAAAATACGCACGGCCCCCTACCCAAAACGCGGTGGAAGCCAAGTGAGGACGCCGGCCCCAGACGCCCCTTCCCAATGCCTGCATCACCCCCGCGCGGGCTCCCCCGGAAGTTGGGGTGCAGCGAGGAGGGGGGATGTCCCAGGGCCCCGTGGGGGTGGGGGTGGAATAGGCAAGAGACTAAAAAGACAGTCCGCTGCCGGTTTCGTTCTCCCCTTCCTCTAGGGTAAGGAAGCCGGAGGGAAGGGGGGACGCCTAAATGCGGCGGGAGCCACCCGGGAACGGTTTCCTCCTGTGGCGCGCCGGTACGAAGCCGGAACCGGCGAGGAACGGGACTGCGAGGGAGAGGAGTCAGTGCGGAGCAGCGGGGAGCGGGGAGCGGGGAGTAGAGATGGAAAGGCGGTGGAGTGAGCTGGGGGAGACGGGGGGGGAGGGGAAGAGGGGCGGGCGGGGGCCCTACCTTGTCCGGGAGCCGCTCCTGCTCAGCGGGGCGGGGGCGGGAGATCCCGGCCGCATCCACGTCCCGGCCGCTCGGCGCGGCTCAGCCCGGCGACTGCCGCCGCTCCCGCTCCATACGTTGCTCCGCGAGGGGCGGCCCGGTGGTGTCGGCGGCGGGGAAGTCACCGGCACCGCTTGTCTCCGGCACTTGTTGCCGCCACCGCCACTGCGCCTCTCACTCCCGGCTCCAGCTCCCCGCGCCGCCGCCGCCGCCTCTGGGCGCCCGGGTCGGGCCCCGCCTTCGCCCCCGCCCGGCGCGCCAATCAGGCCCGGCACCACCCCTCACGTCACCGCCAAGCGGGGCCCGCAGCCCGGCGCCCCAAGTTTGGGGAAGGCCGAGCTCCAGCCTGCCTGCCAATTGGAGCCCAAGATTCGCCCAGGCTGGTGCTCCTCCTAGCTTCCAGAGACCCTCCGGGGCCCCCAGGTCCACATGTGGAAAGTAAAGGGTTAAACTGGGGGGAAGGGGCCCCCAGGAAGTAGACCCCCTCGGAACAACAGGACAGTTCGACCTTATTCCAACCCGGATCCAATCTAAATGTCTCCAACAGCAGGTCGCCCCTCTTGCGGGGCGCCTAATGTTGGGGGACTAAGTACATAGCCTGGGTAGGACTCCAGTGACCTTTTCTGGCCAGAACCAGTTTGTGACTGGGCCTAGACCGGACCACGGCCACCGTTCCAGTGTTTGGGTGCGTGCGCCCCTGCAAAACCCGGAGTTCCACTGGGCAAGGGGGAACCAGGGCCAAAGTGGGACTTGACCGTTGCTTTCTGCCCACCCATTCCTTGCCGCCACCTCTTAGATCCCCAAATAACGCCCTAGAGCCCAAGGCCTAAATGATGCCCTACTTGGCACACTGCCACCCGATCTTCAAATTTATGAAGTTTTAGTTCTCCTTGTGGTGTCTTGCAGAGAATTTCCTCGAGCTTCCACGCGCGTCTTGGAAGCCATAAAGACAAGGTGTCCAGACGCTGCGCCTCCAACCCGGCCGCCGCCCAAAGACGCAGGGCGGACACCTAGGAGCAGCCTGAATGGCTGAACTCTTGACCCACACCTTCGGCTCCCCACTACTGGGTGAGGACACCCACCGGCCGAAACACCTGGAACCACAGACGCACCCTCTTAGCCCAGCGCCCCCGCTGGCTCGCCGGAGCACTGCATTCTAAGGTGAGTCCCAGCCCAACTTTGGGGGCCCCAGGTAAGCCTAGCGCAACCGGATGGGGAGGTTGCGCAGGTCTGAAAGGCCCGGAGCAGCCAGCTCGTCACGCGCGTGCTCCGTGGGGAGGCAAGCCTGGCCGAGGCCCATCAGAAAGCACCTCCCTCGCTTGGTCCTTATCTCTTAAGGAAAAAAGAGATCCCCTTTACACAACCAGAGCGAGCAATTAAGGACACTCCACCCTCAACTATTTGCATTTTTCAGAAGGCTTTCTGAGGCGGAATTAGCCGAAGGGGAAGGAAATGCAAATGTAGGAATTTCAGGCACCTAGGAGTTCAGCTCTCTCGACTGTGGGCCCCTTACTCTTATCCACGCTCCGAGCAAAAGACCACTTTGCTGCTGGAAGCACGGAGCCACGTGGGTGCACTCTTTTAGAAACAGGAATTCAGAGTCAGATCTGGGAAAGTTTTGATTTTCAGCCTTCAGACCTTTTTGCTTTTATGATGATCACATGATTCTCCTAAGACAGAAACATAAAAGTCAAAGAAACAAGTTGGATTTGGTATATTCATAGAAAAACAGAAAGGATGCACACCGACTGCTAACCACCGTTACCCCAAGTGTGGAACTGGAGTGTGGGAAGGAGGGAGATAAATTTTATACCCTTATACTGACTCTGCATTTTGTATTTTTCCAGTTATATTAACTGTCAATTTAGAAAGCTAATAAAACATTTTTAAGAAATACAGAAATTAGAAATTCTTCAAGAACTCTAGAGAAAGTATAAATTAATAAACAAAGCCTATGCTTTCATTCTGCATCAAAATAATTATTCCTGAGTCCATGTTCCTTGGTTTAAATAAAAGATATCTCTAGGCTGCTGTTCTGATTAAATGCTGTGGTGGGACAAGACTGACATCTGAAGATTTTTCTGTGCCGTCAGACTGACATACTGGTTCTATGCGCGTGTGTCTTCCCTTTAAATGGGCATCCAGTAGCCACAGACATACTTTCAGGGACTGCCTGCCAAGGAGTTTTTAGTAAAGGAACTGCTACAGCGTAAGTTGGGATCCAACAAGGAAATTAAGCTTGTGTCCTTTGTAGCTGCCCAGGCCCTGAAATTTAAAAAAAAAAAGGGCATTCTCTCCATCCTGCCATTAATTAATGCAGCTGGGAGTGTATCTATAACAGTTAACACTGTACCTTTGGGGGAATTACACCAAACCTGCCTGATTCAGTCCTCCTCCAACTTCCTCCCTCCTGTTATAATAGAGGAGGTAGCCTCCTGCATGAGGTTAGACTTTCCACCCATACTCTGGTTCTGGTCCTCTCCCACCATCACAGGAACCTTTATTGTCCATTGTCCTCTCACTGCTATACCTGCATCTTCCTCTTCTCTATAGGATTCTCCCCATCTGCATTTAAACACACTCAAGTTACTCTATCCTAAACCCAATGCTGATAGAACATTCCTCTCCGGCTGTTTCTCTCTCTGACCCTTCAAAAACTTTCTGTCTGCATTAAGTACCGTTCTGCACCCACTTGGCTGTAGTCTTTACTCATGCGTGGGGGCCTGGGTCCAACATCAGTAGGTAAAGATGTATTATTTATTTATTTAACAAATATGTGGTGACATTGGAGTGGTGAACATGACAAACAAACTCTTCCCTCTTGGAGCTCACAGTTTCGCTGGGAGAGACAGCTTCACAGTTCAATGCACTGTCAATTATATAATGACAATTGCGGAAGTACAAGGTGGTGGGACCATTTGGGGGAGTCCAAGAGGAGGTGACATTTGAGTTGAGCTCTGAAGGGTGAGCAGGATTTACTCAAGCAGAGAGGAAAGTGGAACAGAGTTCCTGGCTGGTTTATCCTACAAGGGATGTGGTTGAGGGAGAAGTTGGAGAGGTAGGCAGGGGCTATGTTTTGCAGGGCCTAGAATACCATTTTCAGTAAGATCACTCTGACCAAATGTGAAGAAGGAATAGGGAAGAGGAGGAAAGGGGGTTGAGAGAGAGTTAGGAGGCTGTTGCCAAAATATAAATGAAAGGGTTGGGGCGCCTGGCTGGCTCAGTCGTTAAGCGTCTGCCTTCGGCTCAGGTCATGGTCCCAGGGTCCTGGGATTGAGCCCCGCATTGGGCTCCTTGCTCAGCGGGGAGCCTGCTTCTCCCTCCCCCACTCCCCTTATTTGTATTCCCTCTCTCACTGTCTCTCTCTCTGTCAAATAAATAAATAAAATCTTAAAAAAAAAAAGGGCTGTTTAAGTGGTAAAGCAAACAGAGAAGAATACCAACAGGACTTGGTGATTGCTTAACTAGGGAGGAATCAAGGAAAACTCCCAGTTCCCTGCTTCTTCAACCAGATGGACAGTGGTGCCATTTTATCAGTTGGGGGACCCTCAGGGAAGAGAATTGAGCAAATCTTCCCAAGGTTCACATTTGGTCATGGTGGGTCTGAGGTGCCTGTGAGGTGTCCAAGTAGAGATGTTGAGTAGGTCATTGGTCGTATGGTCCAGTTCTCTGAAGAGGGGCTGAAACTGAAGTAGTAAGTAGAGGTGGTAATAAAGCCAGGAGAATAAGGTGGTCTCCTCGGAGAGTATAGAGCTCGACTGGAAGAGGGCCTAAGACTTACCTAAAGGCTGAACAGAGGCAGACTATCTGCAGATGAAGCAGAGGAGCTGCCAGAGGAACAGAAAGAAAACTAGGAGCTTGGGGAGGGAGGGATTTCCCAGGGAAGGAACATGTTATAAGGAGGCAGTAGTCAACAGCACTCAAAATGGCTGAGAGACCCAAGGGAGATGAGCACTAAATAACATCCCCTGGATTGACTGACCCTGGTGTCATTGGGAGTTTCAAAGAGCAGTGACTGGTATAGTGAAGGGCAAAGAGATAGACTGGAGTAGATTGAGGAGTGAGTGAGCGGTGAAGAAATGAAGAACGGTACTTCATGCAGACAGAAAGTTTTTGAAGGGTCAGAGAGAGAAACAGCCGGAGAGGAATGTTCTATCAGCATTGGGTTTAGGATAGAGTAACTTGAGTGTGTTTAAATGCAGATGGGGAGAATCCTATAGAGAAGAGGAAGATGCAGGTATAGCAGTGAGAGGACAATGGACAATAAAGGTTCCTGTGATGGTGGGAGAGGACCAGAACCAGAGTATGGGTGGAAAGTCTAACCTCATGCAGGAGGCTACCTCCTCTATTATAACAGGAGGGAGGAAGTTGGAGGAGGACTGAATCAGGCAGGTTTGGTGTGGGACATCGAATCCTTCCACAGGATGACTTTCTCTTGCTCTGTGACATACAGGAGGCTGGGGGTGGGGCAGGGAGAGCTGACAGATTTGAAGAGAGTGGAGAAGGTGTGACAGAGTCCTTGCAGAAAGTGGGAAGGTCGAGGGGCACCTGGGTGGCTCAGTCGTTAAGCGTCTGCCTTCAGCTCAAGTCATGGTCCCAGGGTCCTAGGATCGAGCCCCGCATTGGGCTCCCTGCTCGGCGGGAGGCCTGCTTCTCCCTTAGGACTTCTTGTCTATCTTTTGCATTCTTGTATACTGGTCCTGTTACTATTACAATTGAAAGAGACTTGAGGCTGAAATATTTATTATGATGTTATAAGTAACTATTCAATTGTTTTCCTTTTTACAAAACGGCAGATATTCACTACAGAAAACTGATAAAATGCTAAGAATCAGAAAGAATTAAAAACCACCTATAATGCCAATAGTCATAAAGTTTTACAACTTGCTTTCAAGAACATGTACCTTGTCAACACATGATCATGTTTGTGTGCCTAAATATTTTTTTTAAAGATTTTATTTATTTATATGAGAGATAGAGAATGAGAGATAGAGAGCACGAGAGGAAAGAGGGTCAGAGGGAGAAGCAGACTCCCCGCTGAGCAGGGAGCCGGATGTGGGACTCGATCCCGGGACTCCAGGATCATGAGCTGAGCCGAAGGCAGTCACTTAACCAACTGAGCCACCCAGGCGCCCTGTGTGCCTAAATATTGTCACACAAATAATTTCCAATTGCTGCATA